AGTCAGATGATTGATTATTCATTATAGAAATTTGGAAGCAACTTAAGAAAAAAAATCAAGGGAACTTAAGAAGAGGGCACCAGATGATGTAAGTCTTATAAAGAAAAGTCAGATAAATTTAACTAATTTCAAACTATTCATGCTTCTAATCTTATTAAAGGACCTAGTACATGGAATATAGTATTTTCCTTGAGCAACATAGGGCTAAGCTACTCAGTCATAAGCTACTAAGCATACTAAGTAAGCTACTAACTCTTCCTGGAGAGCTACCATCTCTAAGCAACTACATTGTTTGCCAGTTACCATGGTATAACTATTTCTACTGTGATTGGTTTCAGTTATAATGAATTAGAGAAATTAAAAGTGGGAAGAGATAGTAGTGATGAACTTTAGCAAGTCACTATGAGTTAGTTTGGGCTTGGCTATAAAACATCATTCATATCCCAACTGAACAGTGTCCACACATGTGGACATGAAAGACACATGCTATCATGAAAGACACATGGATTTTAATGTCAAATATTCTTTCATTAATAAATTCATTAGACAAATAATTATAGGCTAGGAATTGGTCTGCATAGGGAATACAGAGCAATGAACAAGTTTCTGTCCTTAAAAAGAGTATATTCCTTTTAGAGGGCCAAACAATGAACACAAAATCAGTAAATGCACAACATGTTGTGGTGGAATATAAAACAGGCAATATTGTAAGGGAGGCTTGGGGCAAGTATAAACTTGTATATTTGGTAGCCAGGGAGAGCCTGATGGGTAAGGTGTGAGGATCTGTTCATTTCTTTGCTACATTCTGTAGAAGAGAGGAAAGGAAAGGAAAGGAAAGGAAAGGAAAGGAAAAAGGAAAGGAAAAAGGAAAGGAAAGGAAAAAAGGAACAGAAAAAAATAAGAGAAAGAAAGGAGAAAGAAATGGAGAGAGGGAGGGGAAAAGGAAGATAAGAGGGAGAAATAAGAGGAAGGAAAATTTACTCTTTGCAAAATGACCTGTAGGAAAGATGAGCCAAACATGAATGAAGATGGTTACCTTCTCAGTTTGGATAGGAGTTGTGTAAAATGATAGTTATGTTGGCAGTATATCTCTGCCTATTCCCTTTTATGGAGTTTTGAATTAAAAGAAACAACTTTTTTGCATGTTGAAAAAATAAAGTTAATGAGGGAGAAAAAAACTAAAATTGAAATAAAAGAACTTAATTGTATATTAATTGAATATTGTAGCCATAGGAAGAAAAACACTGAGGTTTCAAACACAGTGCTTTGACTGCATATCCTCAGTGCAACACAGACTAGCAACAGAAACGTTGAAATCTTTAACATGGCAGCCTTCTTGTTTGTTGATGGGATTGGGTGAGACAATTTGGGCTATTTTCTGTGTGTTTCAGGATTCATAGAGTAAAAAATAAAACAGGTGAATGTTGAGAGTCAGGCCCTCATGTGGGAGAAAGAAGACAGAGATGGACAAGGTGCAGATGACTAGGACCTGGAGGGACTGGGTTTGAATCAGGATTAGCATGTAGTTTAAAAACAAGTAGATTCCATTCCTTAGCTCTTTCTACTGGGAGAAAATGGAGGCACTATTGATCCATGGGGCACACATCTAAGATGTTTCTCTTAGAACCAATATCCCACCACCAACTGAAAGCCAATAGAAATCCCTAATTAGTAACTGACTTGAGGGCTGGCCAGCCACATTCCAAGGATCATCTAGAACATGCCAGAAGCCCAGAAGAATAATGAGGGCATGTCAAAAGATCTAAGAGCAAGCTCAGAGGGACTCCCCCTAGACATAGCCAAGACCATGACTAGACAGAAAGATAATAATAATGGGGAATTTTGGTAGACCAAGTTTAAAGTGATCAATGAATCAAGAGGAATACCAAACACCAAAAGAAAGATAAAGAGACCACCTGCATGTGCTTTTCTTTCTTCCAGGCATCACGTTTTCCATTGAAAAATCTTAGCCATGGTCAGGCTAACATGGAAGGAAAACCATGCATTAAGAGAGCTGTGGTTTTGTCAGAGTGGAGTGGAAGTGAGGGGGAAAAAAAACACAACAGAATCTGTTTTGGTGTTTTTTCACATTAGCTCATCAGATGAAGCTCAGGGGCTCAGGGGCTAGGAACCACTCTCTCTCTCTTGTAGTGAGTTACTTTGTGGGCCCTCAAAGTGGAGCTAAAGTGGCCAATTCTATATAGTCCCCACAGAAGACAGTTTTGAAGGACAGATGGAAGCAGTCTGGCTCGAGTGAGCACAGTTTGAGGGGTTGCCTCTGATTTCCCGCCAGTTCAGAACTGGGCCACACCCCATCTATAGTTTCTTTATTGTGAATGAAGTCTCCAGAAAATGCAAATAGTACGTCCTCCCTCTTTAGGAAGAATTTGAAACTTGTTCATGATCAGATTTGGTAGTACTTGACTGTAGTCCCATCTATTCTGAAGGCTCCTGGGTTCAAGACCAACCTGGGTAAAAGATACAAACTACATCTCCACAAATGAACAAACAAGTAAATATATGGAAAAAATAACTGCTCAAAGGGTCCTAAATTCTTCTACGATCCTCCAATTGTTTGGGGGTTAGGGCCTCAGAAGAGTTACAGAACCAAAGACTGGTGTCTTGTATACTGGTGTTTTTAATACGATAATGTCCCCTCTTCTCCTAGAGCAGGACTTGGTATTTTATTAATGATGTTTAGTATAAATTTAATTTCAAAGCACTGCTGCTGTTGTTTAGATAAAGGCTCTGGGGTTTGTGTATTTTTCTCTTGGTGACAATAGGAAAGGGAGAAGTGCAGACATGCCTTCAGGCTGGTGCACATGGAAGCCATCCTGGAAGAGGTAGTCCAAGGTGGGCTGAACGCCTCAGCACATATTGAAGCTGAAACTGAGCTGTTTCTGGGCCACATCTTTTGGTGATTTTCAACAGTGGCTCCTCCCTGTTCAACATTGGGGAATCCTTCAGGAACATCAGATACTACTTCCTCACCCTTTCCAGTCAGGACCAGAGCACACTGCGATTCCTTCAGAGGATATGCAAAATTCCAGATCAGTGGATGCTCAAGCCTGGAGAGAGTATCCATCAGTAGCTGGGTGATTTCTGAGTTGCTGATACTTATGATAAGTTGATTCCAAGTTGTTTTTTATTTTTAGTATAATGAACAATGAACCAACCAATCAACACACACACACACACACACACACACACACACACACACATATACATGCACACAACCACTAGAAAGTGAGGGGAAGAAAATCATATGAAGAAGAAATTTCTGTAAGAGTAAAAATTCCTCCTGAGTTAGGGCAGAATCATTCCTTTTTATCCCCTAAGTACTCCCCAAGTTCACTATCCTGAATACCACTTTTCAGAAATGGAAAATGGAAAGAAGGGGAAGAAAGATCAGAGGAGAAGGTAGACAGGATATAAGGAGAGGAGAGGAGAGGAGGGGAGGGAAGGGGAGGGGAGGGAAGGGGAGAGGAGAGGAGGGGAAAGAGCAATGGGGAAAGCTCTTAGTAACTGTGTCTTAGTAAAGATGCAGTAGCCATGTTATTGAACACTGGCAATCTGCTGGGTTTCATCCATTTTTTAATCTACCATATCTTGTAATATATCATAACCTATAAGACAGGTACTACCATTGAGTCCTCTTTATAGATGAAGAAAAAGAGGCCCCAAGTGGTTAAAGAGCTTGTCCAGCTGGCCTTGGCTCCTGACTCCACCTTTTCCAAGTGTGCTGAAGGAAGGGGATGTACAATGTTGTAATCATGGAAAGTTTCTAGTTACCTCTACTGATTTGGAATACAGGTCATATGCAGTGAGAATGCCCAGAGTTAAGGAGCTGAGAGTTCCCTGTGAGTTCTTGTGGCAGCCAAACCTTTGCTGGACTTGGATAGAGCTACTTTGGCATTTCTCATTTCCTCCTTCCTGTTCCCAGTCTTCTGGGGTGGGGAGAGGGGGCTTCCTTAATCAATCTTGCATATAATTTCAAGAGCCAGATTCTAAAAACCTGAAGCTGATACACAAGCCAAAGAGCCTGGCTGGAGGGATAAATATAAGAGTGCCATGGAGAAGAGCTTCTTACAGAAACTGAGAAGTGGCCAATTCCATTCCACCAATCAGATGACTTCTAGGTGGAGTCAACATGCAAATGTCAGTGGAAGCCTGGGAAGGAGCATCTAAGTTTAGGGCAAAGGAAGCTAAGGAAGCTACTTGGAAAAAGCAAATTCTTGAAAGATTCATATTTTTTCCCCATGTCAACATGAAGGGAAGGCAAAGTGGAAGGCACAAGACTGTCAAGGACAAAGGCAGGAAATGAAACGCTCTGGACTTACAAAATGCTCCATATTCGGCGGGGGGGGGGCGCTGTTCAAGATATCCCACAGAAAGCAAACTCGAAAGATCATTATAAGGTGGAGAGGTGGGGTGGGAATGAGAGAAATGGAAGGTCCAGTGCCGATTTCCAGGTCTCTACTGTGAGCTTGCAGATGCAGCTGACTGAGATGAAGCACACAGAGGGGGAGAGGTCAGCGGAGAAGAAGGAATGAGGCCGTCTTTTAACGTATTTTGTGTTTCAGATGCCAGTTGGACAGCCAGGTGCATTCTCAGTACTTGCCACTCTGCGGTGTGTGCTAAGCTTTTTATGTGCATTTTATTCGATGTGAATGCTGAGCCTTTCATATGTGTCTTATTCTTGTGTCGAAATGAGTTGTCTGACTTCCAGTCTCGACATGTTTAAATAAGAGGGTATACCTCCTTTCCTTCCAGAGGAACTGTGGAGTTAAAGCTTGGCAGAGAAGGTGGTAGAAACCCAAGTGTGGAGCAGGGGCACAGAAGGGCCAACTGTGAACGCACAGAGGTGACAGATCTGCCTTGGTCTCTCTTACACATAACCTAAATGGTCCTTCATGGAAGGTTCTGGAGAAAGGCAGAAAGCTCACAGAGGCAGGAAAAACGGAAACCTCATCCCCAAGAAGCTGGATCCCCTTGCTCACCATCCTCCTCCGTCTGCACCACCAGCTCCTCGCTCTCCATTCGGCCCTCGGGGTTGGACAGCAGGAGCCGCAGCCGGATGGTCATGAAGGGCCTCAGACCCCGTAGGGTGTAGTGGGAGGAGGTCTGGATGACCTCCTCGGCCTCATACTGCTGCTGGTTGAACACATACTGGTACTGCACCGTCAGGTTGTAGCTGTGGCAGCGAGTCACGGCATAGCCGAAGGGTTCCCACTGCAGCGTCAGCTGCCGGGCTCGGATGTCCACGATCTCTACGTTCTGCGGGCCATGCACAGGGTCTGCAAGACACACACAAGACAAAGACACTGTGAGGAGAATGGCAGGAAGGCCAAGGGATGATGGGTAACGACGGCAGACAGCTTCTCTGCTAGGCGAATCTCACCAACCACTCTTCATGATTACTGCCGTGTGCAGTAAATTTTTTGTAACTTTTTTTCTTAAGTAATTTCCTTTTCTTACTTAAAGGTGCATATCTAAGAGGAAATATGAATATATGAAGAAAGCATACAGATCACTTGTCAAATAACTGACAGCTATAAAACTAAAGGCAAATTGTGTAATTTTTAGGGGTCCACCAGAGTACCACAAAGAACCATTCTTTATATAACCAACTATACACATGATAAACTTCTTGTGTACCACCAACTGTACACGACTCTGCCAGGATATACTTCCTGCATGCCACCAACTATACACATGACACTTCTGGTATATACTTCCTGCATACCACCAACCATACACACACTTTCAGGATATAATTCCTGTGTATTGCCAACTGTACACATGACACTTCCAGGATACTTGCATACCACCAATTATACACATGACGCTTCCAGAATATATATCACTAAATGTACACAGGACGCTTTTGGAACATATTTCCTATTTACCACTAACTTTACACAGGATGCTTTCAGGATATACTGATCTCCTTGTCTTTACTTCAACCGCATCCTCTCTTCCTGGAGATCAGCCTTCTCTCTTCAGTTAACAGAATCCAGATGCATGTGTTGGAAGCAGAGTCACATCCTTGATTGACAACACCAGTCTATCCATTATGCCCCATAAACTCTGCCTCTGAGTTTCCCTTTTCATCATTAATATGATGTAGTACATCCTGCATCCTACAGCAGCTCTCTTCTCTCCTTTCTCTGAGAGCATCCTCTCACCAATAGACCCTAATTCCTCAATGCTGTCTCCCATTAATCTCTACCCATTAATCTATAACATTAGCTCTGCCTTATTTTCTATTTTTTTATTTTTATTAAAAAGGTGATTACAAAGGGGTTACATTTATAGAAGTCAAGAGTTCGTTTCTTTTGGGATCATGTCACCCCTTCCCTCACTCTCGCCCAGGTATTTCCTCTTGTCTCGACTCACAAGTGATACAGTTCATTTTCTACATAGTGTCTAGTGATTACAGCTGCTGCATTTGATCACTCCTTTTTTGTTGTTGTTGTTGTTGTTGATCGTGGGGCTTGAACTCTGGGCTTGGGCGCTGTCTGTGAGCTCTTCAGCTCAAGGCAAATTCTCTACTGCTTAAGCCACAGCACCACTTCTGGTTTTCTAGTGGTTTATTGGAGATACGAGTCTCATGGACTTTCCTGCCCAGACTGGCTTTGAACCGTGATCCTCAGATCTCAGTCTCCTGAGTAGCTAGGATTATAGACGTGAGCCACCGGTGCCCCCTTACACTCCCAAAGACAGATAAACATATAAGGCAAAAAGAAAGCAACAACAGCAAATTTTAGAAAAAAATCCTCTTGCTTCCATTTCCTGGAGTTCAATAGATACTATTTTATATGATCAGATACACATAGACAGTGTACCTGGGTGTTCTTCTCCTAAGAGTATTCTCCTTTGGTTTCATTGTGTGTGAATTCCAAGAGTGCCTTACTTTTTATGAATGCTCTAATATTAACATTTGTACCTTACACAATGTAAATAGATGAATTTTTATAAAAACAGATTATAAAAAAATAAGGTTCAGGAAAACAAAGGAGGAGGCAACAATGCTTGATAAGAAATGTACTCATCTTGCCTGTGTAATTGTAACCCCTATGTACGGTATTTTCACAATAAAAAAATAAGGGTCAGGAAAAATAAACTCCTGGATGAAATGGTTAAGCATTTGGCACGGTAGAAACACATTTCTTTGTGTGATAGACACACCACAAATTCTTCTGGCAGATTCTCTTAGCTGAGAAAAAAACAGAGATTAAATTATCATACAACCCATGCTACCTATAAGAAATTTCACTGTATTTGATGTTGGTATAATTTGTGGAGGGGAAGGGAAAAAACAAATTGTTTAAATAGGGACACCGGTGGACCCATTGCAACAATGAGATGTACAAGTCGTTATGTCAAAAACAAACTTTGCAGTTTTGGTGGGAGGGGAGGAGGACTGGGGGGGGGAGGATGGGAAGGGATGGGAAGGGGAAACAAAGGAGGAGCCTACAATGCTTGATAAGAAATGTACTCATTACGTTGCCCATATAATTGTAACCCCTCTGTACAGTATTTTCACAATGCAAAAAGAAATTTCTAAATTATGTTGCACTCTTGTACTGATATCTTCATTCATTTGCAAATTTGTGAGAGTAAGAGTAACTAACCTTATTGAAAGGGATGGAGGAGTCAAATATTTGTAAAGATTTAAGATATGTGTAATTATACCCAGAACTTAATAAATACTTCATACATGGTAACTATGGTTTGTTTGTTTTGTAATAACAGGAATATAATTAAAATAGGGCTATGATGGCACAATCCTGTAATGCCAGATACTTTGGAGGCAGAGATTGAGAAGATTGTAGTTTAAGGCCAGACCTCTCTCCAAAACTATAGCAAGATTTCCCTTCTTAACCAATAAGCCAGACTGGTGGCACATGCATGTGATTCTAGCTATACAGGAAGCATATTTGAGAGGACCAATGTCTGAAGGCCCCTTTCCCTCCCGCAAAAAAGATCATATCCAAAATACCAGCTAAATTACAGAAAGTCTGGGTATATGGCTAAAGTCAGAGTACCTGTGGAGCAAGCATAAGGCCCTGGATTCAAATCCTAATACCACACATACAATAAAAAATTCACAATAATAATAGTTCTTCATATGTTGTATCCATCCTTAATTTTATAAAAGGAATAGTAGGTGAAATTAGCCATACATAAGATGATGGGCAAAGGAGTCCATTATCTATTCTGTCCATTCTCTCTCAGAGTAGTTAAGGTCTAGCTGCCTGTACACCAATGGAAAAGAGGTAGAGGAAGGGGCTCTGGGTGGAAGCTGAGTTTCCTACTCTTATGAGGAAAATGTAACTTATGTTGGAGATTAACCAAGGAACACATTTCATGGCATCAGAAAGCTTGGTGAGCCAGCCCAGAGCTGTTCACAAGGCTGCAGGCACGAGGCTGCAGGGAGGGAGTGAGGGTGAGAGGCTGTGGCTTTTTACTATCTTAGTATTTCATAGTCACCCTTTCAGGCTCATTGTACTTGCTCACAAGTTCTTTGTTAGAAAGGCAAGCCAGTGTTTCAAAGGCAAAAGGATGAGTTTGAGAGTGGGACATTAAATAAGCTGTTTCTGCAGGACTCATTGTTTTGAATCTACGTGGAACAAAAGGTGAGCTAGGAAGTCCCTGTATTTGGGAGCTGGGACCAGGCATGACTGCTGCTGCTGCTTGGCTGGGTGTCCTGTGGCAGCCCAGGCAGCAGTGAATACAGATGTGCAGGTGTGAAGATATCAGGAGCCGCTTGCTGAGGAGATCCTGAGCACCCTTGCCAGTCCAGTCCAGCTGGAGCCTTTCCACTTGCATGGATTCCAGAACTCCACTGGCAGCAAGGCTGCTTCCCCTGCCCAGAATGTCTCCAACCATCTTCTCCTGGGAGTGCCTTCAAAACCAAACTCCAGAGAGATGACCACCATTCTCTTCCCTTCGTGGAGTGAAAACAGGCACAGATAAGACCCACTGAAGCCTAATGCAACGACCACATTTTGTGAAACATCTTAAAATGCAACGTATTTTATGTGTTGCGTAAGTGTGATCTTGAAACACAAACAAAAAAATATGGACAAAACACCATCAATGGAGCAGTGGCCCAAGTGCTAGTTTTATCTCCTGAATCATGAGAGCAATCTGAAAAGAACTGATTGCTAGCCTATTTGACAGATGAGGAAACTAAGGTTCAAAGGGGCTTGTACAGAGTAGTAAAGCTAACACATCAGACAATAGGGCCTTGAACTTGTGTCCATCTGACCCCACACCCATTGTGCAATGAAGGTAAAAAGGGCTTCCGTAGGCATCTGCTGAATGGACACATGCTGAACTTTATAGTTCTCACAATGGTCTAGGAGGAGACATCACTACCAGTGCGTAAGAACAAACCAAGACTCAGTGAGATGCAATGATGGGTCGAAAGTCACACAGTGAGAAGCAGAGCTGAGGCAACGTCTGGGGAAATCTAAAAATACTGTGCCTTCTCTTTATCACAACACCTCCAGATGTGAAGCCTGCTGTGGCCATCAGGAACTGGGGAGACCTAGAAGAAGGTTTCCTGAAAGCCAAAGCTGTAAGGCATCTGGGATCCAGAGGCTCACATCTATGACCCCAGCCCCGCAGAAAGTCTGAGAATCAGAGTTCAGAGCCAGTGTGGGCAGAAAAATCTGAGATACTCTTCAAATAACCAGGCAAAAAGAGCTGGAAGTAGAGGAATGGCTCAAGTGGTAGAGCACCAGATGTGGGCCAAAAAGGCAAGGGGGAACATGTGACCTGGTGTTCAAGCCCCAATTCCTAGTACCAGCATGCACACGACAGAAGGCAAAAGCAAGCAGGTGAAAAAAGAATAACCTGTAAGGCAACTTCTGTAAGGTGAAATTTGCTTGGCTATCAGGAACCTAAGACTTATTGAGTTGGAAAATGATGCTTGGCTTAAACATATTTAGTACTAAGATGACAACTTGTCTGTCTTCCTCTACCCAAGGTCTGTTTTTCTTTTCCTGCAGCTGTTTCTCATAAAGTAAGAGGTATCCAGGGTTGCCTTTCAAAGAGAGGAAGAGAAGTTTTAAGCCTGACAGATAATGGAGAGTCTCCTTCGAGAAGAGAAAGTTGAGATACAGGCAAGGCACTTGTTCCCTCCAAAGTAACCGGATGGATTGCTGACGTGGCTGGAAGCCAGACTTTGACCCTCAGTAATAAAATGACCTTGAGCAAGAGTACTTTATCACTGAGCCTCCACCTCCTCATCTATAAAGGTGGAAATTACCACACTAACCTCAGA